ATTAGTGATTTCTTCTTCAGATTTGGTATGCCATACGAACTGCATTCAGATCAAGGCCGTAACTTTGAATAAGCTGTGTTCCATGAATGGTGCAAGTTGTTTGGCATACGAAAGACCAGAACAACGCCACTTCACCCACAGTCTGATGAGATGGTAGAAAAGTACAGCTGAACACTGGGACAGGAATTGGCAAAGTTTTGTAATAGCCACCAAGATGACTGGGATGTTTTACTCCCTCCACTGTTGATGGACTATAGAACAGCAGAGCATGAAGCCACTGGATACACTCCAGCAAAGTTGATGTTTGGTCGGAAACTTCGGTTGCCAGTGGATCTGTTTACAGGACGACCACCTTGTGAAGAGTTGCCTGAAAATGTGTCAGAGTTTCTGAAAGTTTTATCGGAAAGGATGGATGATATTCACCATCAAGTGCATTCAAACTTGAAAACATCTGCTGATTCCATGAAGCTATGTTATGATAAGAGATCTACTGAAGTCAGCTTTGTACCAGGAGACAAGGTGTGGTTGTATAATCTCAGGAAGACCAAAGTTGTCTTCTCCATGGGAAGGCCCATATGACATAGTGGATCGTCTCTCAGACGTGCCTTTCCGAATAAAATGTGGTCGGCGAGGCAAGCCAAAGGTGGTGCATGCCAACAGGCTTTAGCATTATCACAGTCCAGGATATTTCAGTTGGGACGAAGTGAACAACGGAACAAAAGATGCCACTGAAGACATGTCACCTGGAAAAGCCACTGTCGAAGAAGAAATTCTACTCGGTGTTTACAAGGAAAACAGTGAAGCCCTTGATGAAGTTACTACCACTGATGTGACTCTTACCGATGATAGGACAATTCCCGATGGAGCAGATGAACCTCACATGAAGCAGAAGCCAACGAGACGGAGACCAGTATGGAAGAAGATACGTCCCGTAAAATTAAGAGACTTGGTTGAATTTTAATTTTGTGTTTGTAGTGTTTGTAAATTATGTACATTCAATTAAGTTATTGTTAATTATCTATTGGTTTAATGTAAGTGGCTATTGTTCGGGACGAACAATATTAAGGAAGGGGCAGTGTTACGACAGAGGAAGTCACGTGACGCTAGAAACACGTCATGAGATTCTAGAAGGTTCATGTCTGTTCGTGGCAACTCTAGTCTTTTCTATGCGCTCTCTATTCTTGTATATAAGCGCGCCAGATAAAGCGAGACTATTAATCGGAATTGGAATTGCAGACAAGCGGAGACAGAGATGGAGAGTTGAGTCAAGCGCGGTAGTGACCGTAAATAAAGTGCGTGAATCGTTGTGAATTATAGCGTGTGTTAAGTTAAAGTGACTGTGGAAATTAAGTGTATTGCAAAGTTGTATTGAGAAAGAATAAACTAGTTTTATTTAAGAAAGGACTTGTATCGCTAAAATTTCATCCGAAAGAAATTATACGGGAAATTAACAAACGAACACAGAGACATAACAATACTCTCTTTAAAAATACCTACATTTGGAAAGAAGATGTACTAACGTTCGAGAATTAGGAATTTTGATTGAAAATACCTATTTCTTGAAACCCTTCTATTATTTGTATATTCGTTTTCAAAAAGTAATAACCAGATTAGCCGAATATTTAAGACAAAATAAGGGATAAATAAGTTTTAATGAAAATATTTCTATTTTGAAAAATCTGAGTTAAAGGCATCTTTTCCAGTCGACTAAAGTGACCGAAAATTTTCAATCAACTGTAGAAAAATGCTAAGGATATTTTGACAAAAACATATTTTTTTCAAACACGTTAAAAAGAGTGTAATTTATAGGCAAATGTATCGTTGAATATCCGATTGTGTTTATCTCTTAGAAAAATTACAGTCCGTAGCATTCGGACTTAGTGATGGAAAATGTTATAACACTTCTAGAGCTAAAGAAGTAATTTGTCCTTATCCAGCACATAAACTCTCTCGGCCCGGCATGGCCAGGTGGATAAGGCGCTCGACTCACAATCTGAGGGTCGCGGGTTCGAATCCGCATCCCACCAAACATGCTCGCCCTTTCAGCCGTGCGCTTCCTGATTTGGTATTGCCATATGCCTCAGGCC